CTTAATAAATAAATAAAGCTATTCAGTTTCCATAGTGTGAACTTGAAAGGCGAGATACGTCTGTTAAAATGTTAACATTCCTTAACGGTGAGCTGATACTCACGTTTATGTCAGTTATAAAAACAAGTTCCTGTATCATTTTCGAGAAATTTAAAAAGACAGCGAACACATTTATTTCTTTTATTAATTCTTTATTCATTTTTTTCTCTTGTAAACATTTTTATCTTTTTTTATTTTTTTTCGGAAATCACCTTTCTTACACCGACGCATTCTTTTGGGTGAAACACACATTGATGGACATTGTCTGATATTAATGCTTGCTTGGAAGTTTAATTAACAGGACAATGATACTTAAAATCGGAAAAAAGATCACTGACGTTTCTGGAATACATAATGAGAAAAGAAAGTCTAGAGGATTTAACACTCAAATGACAGAATGAAGGCAGCGGTTAGACGGAAAGAGCGGGTAACGAATTTTGTGAGAATAGAGAGCAGATCGAGGACAGACGATGTTGTAATCAGGAAAAGGTTGCTTAGAGATAGACGTGGCTGGAAATTGAGGTCAGCCATGTTTTCCAACCTAACACAGGGAAAAAGCTCGTTAAGAAATATTCGTTAATTTTATAAAAAGATCGTAAGTAAAAAAAAGTGATGATTAAACTTACAAATATATTGCTGCTAAAGATGTCCTTGCAGGAGTCGCCCTACAGCAAACTGGGCTTGCGCATTTTATTAGCATTAACTTTGAAATAAATTATGGGAAAACTTTAATTTCTCAGCGGCTGAATGAAAAGAAAGAGATGAACATTTCATCTGATTTTCGAAGTGTCGTTTTGTACAAATTTAAATACATACATATATATATATATATCAGATTTAAAGAAATTACTTATGTCGATACAAAGGTAACGTCAATCGGGAAAGCGAAAAATAAAAAGAAATAAATAAAAAGAAATAAAAGAGTTCTTTTATTTGTCGCTATTTAAACGTTTTGCAGTCGGAAAAATATTATAACCCTAAGCTGGAAACAGCCCTAGGCACACGTCTAATTCCATTTTTTTCACTTCATCACGAAACAAAACCCATCCCGCATACATTGTCTTTTCTTTTTACCTGTGATAAATATTCCAGAAGCAAAGTTATATACGATTTGAATTCTTTAACGACAAAAGTCTTTTTGTTTGTTAGAAAAAAAACGAACAGAGAAAAAATATAATTTTACAAATAGTTTTCGAATATTCATAACTTTTATGACGCTTGAAAGTTATTTCTCTTGTTCGCAATAACATTACATCATATGCTCAGAATACAGTAACGGAAAAAGGGTTATTATTCGGGAGAATATTTCAACATTTTCACAGTAAATGATAACATATATGGATTATATATATATATATGGATTATATATATATATATATATATATATATATATATATATATATAATGCCAAGCTCTTCTATGAATCGAGCACTCTGAGTCAGTGGTGTGTTTATTCAAAAATTAATACGGGAGCTGATAGCTGATAGCTTAGTAGAAAAGATCCGAGGATGCCTGACTATTAAAGCGGCAAGACAATCCTTATTGCAGACGCCTTCTCAGGCACAATTGAGTTTGTTAAACACCCACAGAGCCGACTGTGGTTTTTAATGTAACTATGTTGAGCGGACCTTAGTTACAGTTTCTAGGAGGGAGGGCGTTATCTATCGTGATAAACAGTCTAAACATGCCAACATATTCAAACTGTCGGAAGATATATATATATATATATATATATATATATATATATATATATATATATATATAATTATTTATTAAAAAAAAAATTATTGTGAAACTTTTAAAACCACTTATTTTACACTCAACATCATCACTCGATAAGACACCGAGGGTGTTTAAACAAAATGGCTATTTTTGTAGTGATTTTATAACATATTTATGTTATAATTTTTTTTTTTTTTTAATAAATAATTATATCTGCTCTACTTTATATTGAGCACTCTTTTAAGAATAGTAATTGTTGGTTATTGGAATTCATTCCATATACACCAATCATATACTTGGGTCAATATATATATATACACACACACAATTTGGGTTGCACTACGAACGTAGGTATATGTATATTTATTAATGTATACTTCTTAGCTCTGTCTCATCACTCCTCTCTCTCTCTCTCTCTCTCTCTCTCTATATATATATATATATATATATATATATATATATATATATATATATAAAACAAATCAATCTATCGAAGGAAAACAGCACAGAGAAGAGGATATTTTCTGTTTTTCTGATTATCGTGTATTTTGAGCTAATTTTTTCAGAGGAGTTATCGATATTCTGCATTAATATTAATTTTAGCTTTAGTTGTCTTCTACGCCATCTTGTCCTGTCCATAACTTTTTTGTTTTTCTGTTTCTTTTAAATTTGTCAATGTGTGTTTATTTTTCCCATTTTACTTTCCTTTCTAATTTGTTCATTGCTTCCGAGCGACTTTCATGATTTTGCGCTGCGAAAATTTTGAAAACGCCGCGCGCATCCTTCTTCCTTGCTTGTACATAATGTCTAGATAATATCCCTACGTTGTAGAGACCTGTGCGTCCGTACCAAATTTCTGCTCTGTAAAACCATCAATGAAATTCCTCATCCAGTTTAGTAACCCGACCCAGGTACAATACTTCTTATATTTTGGGAATGTTCATCCCTTTTGAGACATTTCTACTCTTTAGTTTTGCTTCTGTTTATTCTTCACACAGACACACACACACACACACATATATATATATATATATATATATATAATATGTTTATTATAATAAATTATAATAAAAACATTTCACATCGTTTCACAAAAACTTTCATGTTTCAGTACTAAGCTTGTACTTCCTCAGGCGATGGTAGCTAACTTGTGATAATGATTTATTAGGGAAATATAAAAACAAACCGTTACTTGTTTTCGGAAGTTAAAGATGGTGGGGAGCATAAGGTCAAAATTAAAAATATACTTATGGTATGTCTAGATTAACCAATTAAATATCAGATCTCCGCTAAAATATAAAAACATGGTCAGAGGGTGAAGGTTGGTGCGTTATTTTTGCATGTCAAGAAAACTGACGCTTACACATGTCATTCAGCGGTAGGAGTGAACATTACAGTGACAAATGTATTATGGATGTAGCCAAGTATGATTTGCCGATTTGCTGAAGAAGATATAGGGTTATCAGAAACAGATTATTTTCTTTTAAATCAAAAATAAATGTTTTAATATACTCAAGAACCTTCTTAAAGGGGCCAATAGGTAAAATTAAAAATGTGGAAACATCTATATACGTTGCTACTTGTACTGAATAGACAATAAAACATGACAATATTATAGTTGAATAAATCGAATAAATGTTATTATATACTAATACAATATTGGCTATACAATGGTGACACGTAATAATTTATGAAAAATTGTATATATATATATATATATATATATATATATATATATATATATATATATATATATATATATATTAATATATGAAAATATATGGATATAGATCCGACAGTATGAAGAAAAATATACTGAAAAAACAAACAAAAATCCTAAAATGCGATTATGCTGTTTTAATGTTTAATGTCAACGTCGGACGTTTCGGTCTAATAGACCATCTTCAGGACATATTCATAAAACATAATTAACATAGACCATATACAATTCAACATGAAAAAGACGATGGACATTAAAGCAATACCAATCCAAACAGATAACTGAATTTTTTTTTTTTTATTTGGTTGGTATTGCTTTTATGTCCATCGTCTTTTTCATGTTGAATTGTATATGGTCTTTGTTAATTATTAAATTCACTTTTCTTTTATTTTCATTTTATTTTCTCAAATGCTTTCAATCTCATCCGAGATCATCAGAAAAAAAATAAAACGCCTTTCTAAAAAGAATTTAATATCAACATTAAGAAGTCGATAAGAGAATTCAAGAGGATCACAATAAAATTAAATAAACTTAATGCGTTCAGATTATTCAATCACGCTTGAATAAAAATAAGGAGCATATATATATATATATATATATATATATATATATATATATAATGGACTCTCCCGTCGGTTAAGGCGTATGAGTATCTGAGTGCATAATTGATTCAGTTATGAAATTTTGTGCGATCATCTTAAGTGGCACTTAAGACCAGTTAGTGATTTACAAAGGAGCCCACATATGGAGTAAATCTTACAATAAGAATGAACGAATCAAGGTCAACCGCCAGAAAACCCACACAAGTGATTTGATCAAAGTGGTAAAGGCTTGGGCAGAACCATCCACACTTATATATATATATTGTTGAAGCTTGAATAAGCATGGAATAATAATAATACAACACAAAATGTACGTAACAAAATGTATTGAAACAATGAAAAAAGGTACACAATATTTACAGGTAGTTTTGGTATATTCTTGGGAAGACTGTTCCTGCAGAATGGGTTGACTAAGTCGCAGTCGGGCAGAGTCTCTGGATTCGATCTCTTAATCTTCCCTCGTCTTCCGGTACCAACCCATATTTATATGGTCGGTACTCCACTTATGTAAATTAGGTGTATCATACACAACATATATATATATATATATATATATATATATATATATATATATATATATATATATATATATACGAGAGTTTCCCTTAATTACTCTGGTTGATTCACATTCCAAATTTCAGGTGACTGTATTCTAAACAGTTTTTATTTCATATATCGGTCTGCGCTTTAAGGAAAATGGAATCATGCTTGATTTTAAAACTTTCCGTAGCCAAGTGGTCAAAGCAAGTCGGATCATACAGTGCCCCCACCCCCTCTGTTTACAAATGTGGAAAAAGGTTCGAATCCTGCTGGAAGGTAGGTTTTCTCGAATGCGCAGAACGGTAGACGAAATAAACTACGGATATCCACTAAAAACAATGTTTGATGTAATGAAAGACTTACCTAGATACACTCACCGACGAGCTTATGTGAACGCATAACGGATGAGGAAGAAGGTCGGAAATCTTAACAAAGCGACTAAAACTATTAAGAGTAACACGAGGTAGAAAATTAGTTGATTTATTCATTCATTTTTAGGACTTTTCAAACCTTTGATAATTTCAACCATAAACATTTTAGATTTTAAAAATTATTTATCTTGAAGAAAATAATGATTTAGTGATACAAGACTTACTAATTAACCCATAGCTTGGGGAGAATAGGCAGATTCATAAATTCCCAATAGTATTTGCGCATAAGTAAATATAATAAACCCAACTGGAATTGGAACTCAGCTCTCCGATTAACAATTATCCATCACACCACCCGCACATCCACGTTTACAGTACCAAGTACTCCCAAGCGGTCACCCATCTAGGCCCTGACCTGGTTGCTTAACTTCGGGGATCGTGGGGAAAATTGGTGTTTTAATGTGGTATGGCCGTAAGGCGTGGGAAGTTGTAGAGAGCCATGATCGCCTATTTATAATGATACAGTCTTGTGACAATTTTTCGTTCCGTTTTTAAAAATTAGCTCTGTTCCGTTTTTATAACAATTATTTTAAATTGGAAGAATTACGCTATTTTATTTTAAATATACAGCACCGAAACGTAAATTAATAATCAGTAATCATTTTATTCACAAAATCACAGTCTAATATGTTTCTATTCTTATTTTTCTTTTACAGAAGCGAAATGGACAGTTTTACAATTTAAAACTAAAGACATTTGAATAGCATAGCGAAGTGCCAACAGGAGGATTTTACCAATATTGTTCCAATTACTGTAAGTACAACAAAAAATAACTTTTTAATCGTTAAAAGGCTGCTTCTTTTATACTTGGAATTTTAATTCTAATTATTTTGTAAGTTTGCGCAGACTTGCACATGAATAGAAAAGCAAAATTTAAAAACAATGCTTTTTACCGACAATTATTTGAATTAAACAAGCTGCAATAAGGAAACAACAGAGAACAACAGAGAAATATGAACGGCCTGGAGGAGATAGATAGATAGATAGATAGATAGATAGATAGATAGATAGATAGATAGATAGATAGATAGATAGAAACTAATGCGTGACAGATAGAAAGAAGGAAATGTGTGAAAGAAAGAAAAAAGAAAGAAAGAAATGCCATATAGAAAGAAAGAAATATGAGATAGAAAGAAAACAAGAAACTGTGAGATAGATAGATAGATAGATAGATAGATAGATAGATAGATAGATAGATAGATAGAGTTATAATAGAACTGACAGGTCTGACATTAGTGAATAATTTTGTACCAACCAGCTCAGCAGTTCCTGTCAACTTTTAAAAATTTATTCTAACAAATCGTGTTTTCTTTGTTCATTTCTAATCTGGAGTTTGGTAATCTTCTTGTATAAGTGATTATTCTGCGCTGCTTATAGATATTTAATGAGTTTTAGATATTTAAATCTCTCGCTTTATCAAATCAAGCTATTTTTTGCACTGAAGGAAAAAAGAAAGAATGCGAGAAAGAAAGAAAGAAAGAAAGAAAGAAAGAAAGACAGGCAGAAAGAAAGAAAAATGAAATGCGAGAGAGAAAAAAGAAATGCGAGAGAGAAAAAAAAGAAAGAAAGAAATGCGAGAAAGAAAGAAAGAGAGATAAAAAGAAATGCGAGAAAGAAAGAAAGAAAGATAAAAAGAAATGCGAGAAAGAAAGAAAGAAAGAAAGAAGAAAGAAATGCGAGAGAAAAAAAGAAAGAAAGAAATGCGAGAAAGAAAGCAAGAGAGATAAAAAGAAATGTGAAAAAGAAAGAAAGAGAGATAAAAAGAAATGCGAGAAAGAAAGAAAGAAGAAAGAAAGAAAGGAAGAAAGGAAGAAAGAAAGATAAAAAGAAATGCGAGAAAGAAAGAAAGAAAGAAGAAAGAAAGAAAGGAAGAAAGGAAGAAAGAAAGATAAAAAGAAATGCGAGAAAGAAAGAAAGAAATGCAAGAGAGAAAAAAGAAAGAAAGAAAGAAATTCGAGAAAGAAATTCGAGAAAGAAAGAAAGAAAGAAAGAAAGAAAGGAAGGAAGAAAGAAGAGATAAAAAGAAATACGAGAAAGAAAGAAAGAAAGAAAGAAAGAAAGGAAGAAAGAAAGAAAGAAGAGATAAAAAGAAATGCGAGAGAGAAAGAAAGAAAGAAAGAAAGAATGAAAGAAAGAAAGAAAGAAAGCAATGGGAGAGAGAAAAAGAAAGAAAGAAAAAAAGAAATGCGAGAAAGAAAGAAAGAGAGATAAAAAGATATGCGAGAAAGAAAGAAAGAAAGAAAGAAAGAAAGATAAAAAGAAATGCAAGAAAGAAAGAAAGAAAGAAAGAAAGAAAGAAAGAAAGAAAGAAATGCGAGAGAGATAGAAGGAAAGAAAGAAAGAGAGATAAAAGAAATGCGAGAAAGAAAGAAAGAAAGCTATTAAGAAATGCGAGAAAGAAAGAAGGAAAGAAGAAAGTAATGCGAGAGAGATAAAAGAAAGAAAGATAAAAAGAAATACGAGAAAGAAAGAAAGAAAGATAAAAAGAAATGCGAGAAAGAAAGAAATAAAGAAAGAAGAAAGAAATGCGAGAGAGATATAAAGAAAGAAAGAAAGAAAGAAAGAAAGGAGAAAGAAATGTGAGAGAGAAAAAAAGAAAGAAAGCAAGAAATGCGAGAAAGAAAGAGAGATAAAATGAAATGCGAGAAAGAAAGAAAGAAAGAAAGAAAGAAAGAAATGCCAGAAAGAAAGTAAGAGAGATAAAAAGAAATGCGAGAAAGAAAGAAAGAAAGAAAGAAAGAACGAAAGATAAAAAGAAATTTGAGAAAGAAAGAAAGAAAGAAGAAAGAAATGCGAGAGAGAAAGAAAGAAAGAAAGAAAGAAGAAAGAAATGCGAGATAGAAAAAAGAATGAAAGAAAGAAAGAAATTCGATAAAGAAAGAAAGAGAGATAAAAAAGAAATGCGAGAGAGAAAGAAAGAAAGAAAGAAAGAAGAAAGACATGCGAGTGATAGAAAGAAAGAAAGAAAGAAAGAAAGATAAAAAGAAATGCGAGAAAGAAAGAAAGAAGAAAGAAATGAGAGTGATAGAAAGAAAGAAAGAAAGATAAAAAGAAATGCGAGAAAGAAAGAAAGAGAGATAAAAAGAAATGCGAGAAAGAAAGAAGATAGAAATGCGAGAGAGATAGAAGGAAAGAAAGAAAGAAAGAAAGAGAGATAAAAGAAATGCGAGAAAGAAAGAAAGATATTAAGAAATGCGAGAAAGAAAGAAAGAAGAAAGTAATGCGAGAGAGAAAAAAGAAAGATAAAAAGAAATACGAAAAAGAAAGAAAGAAAGTTAAAAAGAAATGCGAGAAAGAAAGAAATAAAGAAAGAAGAAAGAAAAACGAGAGAGATATAAAGAAAGAAAGAAAGAAGAAAGAAATGTGAGAGAGAAAAAAAGAAAGAATGCAAGAAAGAAAGAGAGATAAAATGAAATGCGTGAAAGAAAGAACGAAAGAAAGAAAGAAAGAAAGAAAGATAAAAAGAAGTGCAAGAAAGAAAGAAAGAAATGCCAGAAAGAAAGAAAGAAAGATAAAAAGAAATTTGAGAAAGAAAGAAAGAAAGATAGAAAGAAGAAAGAAATGTGAGAGAGAAAAAAAGAAAAAAAATGCGAGAAAGAAAAGAGAAAAAAAAAAAGAAAGAAAGAAAAGAAAGAAAAAGAAAGAAAGAAAAAAGAAAGAAAGAAAGAAAGAAAGAAGTGCAAGAAAGAAAGAAAGAAATGCCAGAAAGAAAGGAAGAAAGATAAAAAGAAATTTGAGAAAGAAAGAAAGAAAGAAAGAAAGAAGAAAGAAATGCGAGAGAGAGAAAGAAAGAAAGAAAGAAAGAAAGAAAGAAGAAAGAAATGCGAGATAGAAAAAAGAATGAAAGAAAGAAAGAAATTCGATAAAGAAAGAGAGATAAAAAAGAAATGCGAGAAAGAAAGAAAGAAAGAAAGAAAGAAAGAAAGAAAGAAAGAAAGAAAGAAAAATGAAATGCGAGAGAGAAAAAATGAAAGAAATGCGAGGAAGAAAGAAAGAAGGAAAGAAATGCGAGAAAGAAAGAAAGAAGGAAAGAAATGCGAGAAAGAAAGAAATAAAGATAAAAAGAAATGCGAGAAAGAGAGAAATAAAGAAAGAAAGAAACGCGAGATAGATATATGAATAGATGACGATCATGTTTATTTTTCCGACCTTCAGCGTTTCTGGTATTCATATATTGTATTTGAGATGTACGATATTTTTCCAATAAGTGGAGGTTGATTGTTAGTTTTCCTTCTTTCCTTTCCGACTAGTTACAAAATGAATCCATTTTTAAAATTCTAACCATAATTCTTGATATTAAACGTATTTGGCTTTATTTCATACACATGTTACATTTTGGCTGAGTAACAATAGTTCGAGATGGAGACTTTTGTCAGCTATTTATCGTGATTCCAAAAGTAACAGGACCGAGTCAAAAGCTGATATTGCAACATGTTTAAAAACATTGAGAAATTTAATCTTGAAACAAAGAAAATGCTAAATGGTTTGCTTTCTTTCCGAAAAGCCGTTGGTTTAGAAGCCATTGTGGTGAGATATCAAATTATGTCTGGTATCATCTGATGATGACTATAGCAGTAATGTTCTTCTCATCATTCAAGATAACAACCACACTCGCCCAGTAACAGCGGGAAAAGGAAATTCTTTTCTCCAGACAATCACGCAGTTCATAGAATCAATGAAGAAATTCTTGAACAGCAGCATGATGATACAAACGTATACAAGTTTGTTGATACAGTTACGGTTCCATAGGAAACTTTGAGTTATTGTGTGTTTATTAATACTACATTTCGCGTTGAAAAAAAGTAGCAACAAATTTTCAGCTTTGAAATTATAATGTTCCGACAACGGAAGGATGAGGAGCCCCTTAACCGATGACTGTGGATACTACATGTACTGAAGCCGTTGCAGCCTTGGGATCTCCTGGTCAATCTAGCCTAACGGAACCCGGCCTGTTTTGAATTCAGTTTTTCTTATAGACTGGATGCTACCCAAAGTTATAGAACAAAGTCTCTCTTGCTATTTTACCCATAGCTGGGGATTGAAGAAAAAGTAGCAACAAATTTTCATCTTGGAAATTATAATGTTCCGACAACGCAAGGATGATGAGCGTGGGTACCAGATGTACTGACGCCGTTACAGCAGTGGAACCTCGTGATTAAGCGAGCCTAACGGAACCTAGCCTGCTTTGAATTCAGTTTTTCTTCTCATAGACTAGTTGCTACCCAAGGCTATAGAGCCAAGTCTACCTTGATATTTTACCCATAGCTGGGGAGAGTAGAGATGCATTCATACCTTCCCTAAATTATTAGCACGTAAGTGAATGTAAGTAACTCAAATGGAATTTGAACTCGGATCTCCGATTCATCAATCTGAACCTCTATCCATTACTGCACCGTGTCTTTATGTTCTACATTTTGACAAATTCTTTCAAATTTCAGAGTAAACATTTTAAAACTTCGTAAAATTGTGGAAAATTATTCCAGTTATTTCTTTTTAAAGATTTTATAGTAATCTATTTTTTTTTAAAAATTGTTACCAGTGAAGTACAACTGAAGCGAAAAATCGGAGGTTAGCATGTCAAAAATCCCATTTTGACGTAAAAGCGATTACAATTTTACAGTTTTCATGTAAACAACTTCGATTTTGTGTAAATATAGCCAATTTTTATGTAAACAAAAATATCATGTACATGTTTATTTATTATGTAAACAATTATAATTTCCCTAAATTTCAAATACCAAATTGGAGGTGTTTCTTCTCCTAACTTCAAGAAAAACATAAATATTACTCAGACACCCTTTGGTTTTGTGTTCAATCAAGCACTTTCAAAATCCTTTATTCGTTTAACAAAGACCAAATTTAGTAATGAGATATTGTGTGTGTGTGCGTGTGTGTGTGTGTGTGTGTGTGGAAAAGATTTCAGTCATTCAGAGGAAAGATATCCCCATGCTGGGATAAGATCCTGTGTTGGTGTTATCACTACATCCTGCTGGAAGTAAAAGAGAAAGAAACAGGGTGTGTCACGTTTTTATCGCTCTTTAACAGCGCCACCTAACAGTGTCATGGTGAACGTGGCAAAGCCAAGTGGGGGTAATCCGCTGTGGCATTGACAGTTCCTTACGATATAAAAATATCACATCAGTATAATGAAATCCATGCATTATTCTGTATATTCCTGTTACAAAATGAAGTCGTGATATGGAATTGGAGATTAAATAATTTCTAGTGTAACTATAGCAACAATGGTTATAACTATTTTGATGAAGTTGCATTTTGGCATTTGGTGATAAAAGCAATGATCTAGCGAACAATTTGAGAATTCATTTTAAATACCAAATTGGAGGTGTTTCTTGTCATACGTTCAAGAAAATGAAGCACTTTCAAAATCAACTCAAATCTCCAAGTTTTTATTCTATTTGCAGTGGTCAGGTATTGAAAAGACAACTCTGTGGGTCAAGTCACTTTTTACATCACTGGAATATGTCGATAAAGATGAAGAAGACATTCCGATCGATGTAAATAGTGTAAATTGTAGTCACATTTTAAGATGAGTAATGTCTTGGAATATAAAATTTTAACCATAATACCGAATATCTATGCATTTATGTATTCATTTGATGTGGTGGAATAACCTAACCCCCACCCCATGAGTGGTGTCACTACCTTTAATTTCGGCCTTGTGCAACATGTGACTGCGTGGAGCATTTGCTAAATAGCGTCGAGCTGTGATCTGCGAGACTAGCGGCCTTTCGATAGCAGCACGCACACAAATGTACTGACTTGCGACGACTGTACGCATAACTATTACTTCCTTGCTTGTTGTACTGGTTTCTACAATAAACCTGTCACTATTTATTCACTGTGTTTGTTCATTCCGATATTCCTATTAGCACGGACTATAACAGTATTGCAGCGTCATCTTTGATGAGTCGTTCGCTTAGTAATAATGATTACGAAGGAGTTTCTGTCCGGCGAGCTGAGGGATGGAAAGCCTTCATCTAAAATGAAATTCAAGGATTGCATAAAAAAAAACATCATTGAAGAAATATAAAGTCTCGTTGACTGGGAAGAAATTGTCATTGATCGGGCAAAATGGCGGAAAGGAATATATGATGGAAAAGAGTATTTTGAAATCAGGAAAAATTGAAGAATGATGCGAAAAAGGGCCTGGATTTGATACTGCTAGAATATTTGGTCAGACAGAAAGGGGCTAATGGGTGAAGAATATAGGATATCCTGATTCATCAGAGTGGGAGTTGAAAAACTGCAATCGAAACTATGTATAGATGGTTGACTTGGATTACACCATAGAATGTAGATTACACGGGGACCTGAAAAGTCATCTTTGCTGTTCACAATGGAAATCGGTTCTAAATCGCTTTACGCTGCTGCTGACATACATACATACATACATACATACATACATACAAATTAGGTATAATTTTATTGATAGATGTAACGATAAGTTTCTTTTTTCGGAATTAACGCTTGTGGGATTCTCTTCCGGTTTCTTCCTTTCTTGTCAGCTATGATTTTCAAAAATGAAACCCAGTTCTTGTCGTCTTTCTCTTCAATAAAGTTTTCATAGTTTCTTTCATTCTCAGTAGCATCTTGCATCATAGTGGCTTTATTGCCTTGCTTTGGATAAAATGATTAATAAATAGAAATTAATTATTCTTAATGTGCATTTATTTGTTTTTCTTAAAAATATATGTAGAGATATTAGGGTTAACAAATTACAGAGGTCGAATATATATATATATATATATATATATATAAAGTGAACATTGAAGCCAACACTTAGAGGCGACAGTCTGTTCCATGCTATATATATATATATATATATATATATATATATATAAAGTGAACATTGAAGTCAACACTTAGAGGCGACAGTCTGTTCCATGCTAGACGCAATCGTCAGGCCACGAGTGTTATTCTCATCGTGGCCTTGACGATTACATCTAGCATGAAAGAGCCTGTCGCCTCTAAGTGTTTACTTCAATGTGCACTTTTATATTTACAGACGCTCTATCTCTGATATTGAGCACTTTATGCCATAAATATAGCACAGCTTAAGACTATATTTCTTCATATATATATATATATATATATATATATATATATATATATATATATATATAGAGAGAGAGAGAGAGAGAGAGAGAGAGAGAGATGGAGATATTTTATGTTGAGAATGACGGATTAGGGTTCACAAGTTTCATATACAGATATCGCTTGTCATTTTGTAGTGTCTGCTTCATCAAAAGACAGCAAAAGATGCTTTGTATAAATGCTTGATTTGGATTACATTACATACAACATAGCATCCTGCCCTGAATGCGAGATGATCACTAACACGTAGCTCCTGCTGCTGGAGGAAATCATGCCTGTACCAAAGATTGAAGATCTCTCGTTACATCCGTACTGTTCACAAGAGGAATTGGTTCTAAATTCAAGCAGTGGTTATACTCGAAATAGAGGAAGCTACCATATTTAACTTACTTTATTGATGCCAATTATTATTATTAATTTGAAATTGTGATGATTATAATGCGATGATGATTGTTTCACTGGCGAAAATGGCATGAATATCAATTCAATGTATCTATATTAAATCTAATGACTTCTTTGCCCTGTATTTTAACTTGTCTACTCCTTAAAGAAAAAATCATTTCTAGGTCACCCTATCGGTTCATGTTTAATTTTTCCTTCTTTCCTTTCTTTTCTTTCCCTCCCTCTCTCCCGCTCTCCTTCTCTCTTCCCTTTCCCCTTCTCCCCCGTCTCACTCTTTCTCTCTCCCTCCCTAATATCTTTTTAAAACCTGATATTGAAATTTGACTGTTTCTTTTTTTCTTCTTTTAATATTAAGTTTTCCTTTTCTTTTTTCATTTTTTTTTTTTTTTTTTTTCTCTCTTTTCCTTTCGTCTGGACAAATTGACTCGGTCTGAAGAGATGAATATTTGTATATTCATAAAATAAATTATAACCGAATGGATTTTCAAGCATCGTCATACTCCTTATTATAAATATATATATATATATATATATGTGTGTGTGTGTGTGTGTGTGTGTGTGTGTGTGTAGCGTTGAAATCATATTTTTAAATAAATAATTATAATTGTATATATATATATATATATATATATATATATATATATATATATATATACATATCAATTAACATTGAGGTCAGCACTGAGAAGCGACAGGTTGTTTCATCATGCTAGACGCAATCGTCAGCCGACGTTATCTGACGATTGTGTCTAGCATGAAATACCCTGTTGCCTCTGAGTGTTTTCAATGTTTACTTTTATATTTACATATGCTCTATCTCTTATATTGAGCACTTTATCTCATAAATATAGCACACCTTATATTAAACGACCAGAAATGATCACATTTCTTCATTTATATATATTTATTATATATATATATATATATATATATATATATATATATATATATATATATATAGTTTCCGAATACGGTTAGCACATTGTGGCTTTATTCATAGTTAATATTGTTAAGAGTTGGCTTTTTTCTTTTTTTTATTATTAGAGCTTCCATTATTTTTAGTTTTTTTTTGCAAGTGGATGCAGTTAATATATGTGTGTGTTTAAATGTGTTCTGATGGAACTGTGATCAGATAGGTGTAATGTAAGACGTCTGGATAAACATGTGGTTGTGTAGCCGATGTAATTATTTATGAGACTGGTTTGATCAGGAACACAGTTCCTTAAGGGGCATTTGAACTCATAGATAATGTTCGTTCTTTGTAATTTTGATTTAGTTGGTGTGTTGTTATTTTTGAGGATAAGGTTGGCCGTCTTAAATTTTTTATAATAGATAATAAGTTTGATTTTTTTATTCGGATCAATAGGAGTAGTATATTTCTTTATAATATGCCTTAGAGAAGATTCATCTTGTTAAAATTTACAGTTCCATCAGAACACATTTAAACACACACTCAGATTTACCCGACACTATTAGGAACATACTAGTAGAAAACACAAATATATTAACTGCATCCACTTGCAAAAAAAGACTAAAAATAATGGAAGCTCTAATAATAAAAACGAAAAAGCCAACTCTTAACAATATTAACTATGAACAAAGCCACAATGTGCTAACCGTATTCGGAAACTAAAAACATCACTACCACACACTGAACATACACAGAACACACACACTCTACTAAGCTGATAATCGAATCATCCTTGATAATATATATATATATATATATATATATTATTTTGGTGATATATATATATATATATATATATATATATATATATATATATATATATATATATATATATATATATTTTGGTGATAATAAAACAGTTCTCTGTGTAAAATAACTAAATTAAAATGTACATTTGCTATTAGTAAAGTCTCCAATCGAGAACAATCGGTAAGGGTTCAGTTCTCCCTAAAAAACCTGCACAAATGAATGGTCTATAGTGGTACACATCCTCACTATCATAGCATCATCTTCTGTACTGCTGAACTGTATCACAGGTCAGATGATGCTATAATTGATGTCTATATTTTTAGGAGTTTTCCATCTCCTAGTTACATGGTGGTCCTCGGCTGCTAGAAGACTCTCAGCTACCTCTCTGCCAACCCTCTCCTGCTGCTGGAGGCAGTCGGGTCTGTAGCCTCTGTGACAGTCAGTGTAGGTTCGTTGCCAGGCTAAAAACATCTATCTCTGCTACTCACAGATTAAATCGTCTCTGAAATGCTTCATGCGACGTCTATATTCGAGAACGAGGAAGCTGTTATCATATAGTGAGTTTCCAAGCGTAGCTTAGATGTGGCACAAGGCGGAAAGATCGAACTCACTGCTCAGTCGTAAATATTCTAACTAGACAAGCTTGCTAACCATTACACCGCCTCAAGGTGCCCAAGCTGCTATCATATATGCATGCATGTACATCTCTGGCTATATGTTTATCTATGCAACGAAATAAGCAAATAGATAAGAACATGAACAGTTTTATACTTAAAGATACATATGGGTGGTAAAACATAAAAAGATCTTTCGTATCATTCATTCTGAAACCAATAGACAGCTGTCTCTTTCAAATAGAAGTCTATATATTTTCCTGTTGAACGAATATTTTTTTTTTTTTTATGTGGATTTTCGGTGTTGGTGTAGTTATGTTTTATCTGTCACTTTGTTCCTCTTCAATTAAAGTCACGATATTTTAACGTCTGTTCTGTTTTAACATTTAAATTAACGCTAAGAAATATGAGGTATTCTAGCAACGAATTTCGATTATTTTATCACTCAACGCAAACGTTTCACGATACTTGAAAACAATTTTTTTTTCCCGCTTCCATCGTTATAATTTCGTTGGAATGGATCGGACCCCATCGGAAGTACATTAAACGACCAGAAATGGTCACAGCGTTCTCCAAAAATTCTTCCTTATTTCTCTCTCTCTTCTCTCTCTCTCTCTCTTTGGCGATACACTGTATTCTATTTATTATTCTGGTTCAGAAAGACAAGATAGAGAGAGAGAAGAGGAAGGAAGATTAATTATTAATTAATTATTAAGTCTCTCTCTTTCCCTCTCTCTCTCTCTCTCTCTCTCTCTCTCTCTCTTTGGCGATACACTGTATTCTATTTGTGGTTCGTTTCCATTAACTGCAAAGAGGTGTGCAGCTTTGGCTGTGTGTGTATTGACATTTATAACTGATCTTGAATTTACTTTCTCTTCTTTCCGTCTGTCCAGCAAGTTCACACCTTTGTCACCCTCACACACCCCACACACTATATCTCTCAGACATTTCTCTCCTCGTTCTCTCTTTTCCTGTCATTTTTTCTTTCTTTCCCTTGTCGTCCCACCTGTCTCTTTCTATATTTCTTGAACAGAAGAAACAGTTTGAAAGACTCTCGGAATCCATTCCTGCAACGTAGCAGTAGTGTTTTTTTTTCGCGGAAGACATAGAAATAAATTCGATCAAGACTTCAAAATGATTCATCTGATATTCTCAGTTTTCGATATTTGTGTCTTATTCTGACACAAGGCTACAAATATGGAGCGCTCAACGAGGTTGCTACTCACGTCAGTAGTAATTTTATGGAACAGGGTACTCCTCCAAATCTTAACTCCTTCAATTCTAGGGTTAATCTTTATCTTTATTTACGTTATTTATTTTCGGACTATAGTCCTCTTTCCTGTTATCACATTTCGACCACTGCTTTCTCCGGCCTTCCGGGAAAAATGACCTACTTAATTAAAGCATTGCCTCGTGAATTTAGTGACAGTGATTGGGAGTTTAATCCCTTGGTTGGGCAATGTGTACTTGGACTTCGTGTTAACTAGCGAGCAATAACTGAACAGTACTAAAATAAGAACGTTATCCCTAGACATGTGCAGTGGAACGAGAAGAGCCTTACCCCGTAGATTAAATAAAGGGTTTAGTTCAGAATTCCTTGTAGATTGGTATACACCTGAAAAAAGATGGCGGGCTCAATGGCCGAAACGTTACGATAACAACAACAAAGATAAGGGCAATAGTTTGAATATAAATAATGTAAATAATAATTCAGACAGAAAACGATTGTTATCTATCCTCCGTATCCTCATGATATTCACTCCCAACTTTCTCTTACGTCACCGGATAATGTAAACGGTCTTCTATAATTCAAAATAGTCTCTGGTTTTCAATAACCTACAAACGGTTGTTAAGTCTTAATATAAGTAATCAATAAATCCTTTTTACGTTTATATCACACACTTCATTCAGTAACTCCCTACTATGTGTCCGTCTTTGATCTTAAGTGAACATTAATGTAGGCTGGCTTTTAGCTCTTGTACAAAAGAAAAAAAAACTATAATGATTACTATTACTGAATCGGTATCATCACATGCGAGGCAGCAAATCCACTAAGACACAGGGCTTTACAGGGTGTGGAAAGATTAGGAACAGAAGCATTAATAAGCGGGAAAAGAAAATAGTAATCAGGATGACAGTAGATAGCGATCGCCATTGTATTTAAATTTTTGCAGATTAAAGTTGTCTGGAAAGCATGGAGCTGGAAGGGAGTTCCATAAGCGAGAAGTGTGAAAAAATAGCATTGTACTTAAGGTCACATCTAATCAGCTCAACTGTAAATTGATGAGATCTTGACGCCAAACTAGTACAGCGCTTAAATTTAAAAAAGTTTAGGTACCATAGCGAAGAGGTCATCCGAGCAATTACCAAGATACCATTTATAGAAAAGGCAGAAAGAGGCAATCTTACGGTGGTGAGAAAAAGAAGCCGAGCTGCCAGATTAGGATCAATAACATTGCTGATTATTCTTTGGATTTTATCAAGTATCTCAAGGATGTGACAGCAGTTATACTATATTCATTCACAGATTTCGTGATACTTGCCTGCAACTCATCACCCTCTAGTGGATTTTTGCCCCTAACAATGTACGTGTGCGTGGTATGTGGACTCCCTTGTGTCAGGTAGGTAAATAGCGAGATATCGAGCAATTCAATATTATATAATAAGCTGATCTGTTCCAAGGCTGAAGCGGTGGTGAGCCTCGTTATGGTTTAGGTCATTACACTTGCAATTTATTCCGGAAAATTAACTTGCTAACGATCATGCCATAATTAGGGTCTAAAATATTAAATGAACTTAAGGATAAACAATGAAAATAGGGATATATATATATATATATATATATATATATATATATATATATATATATATATATATATGCTTGGACAAGCCTCCAAGCAGAGAAAACAACTGCCTGGAAAATCTGCATTCGAAAAAATAGTTTTTTTTATTAGAGCTCAAAACTTATCACGTGTTCTGGTAAGCTCCCTACGCACACCCTTATTGGTTTGTGTCTATTTTAATATTACTGCTATTTTTTTGTTTTTTTGTTTTGTTTTTTTGTATGTAATTGGTGCTGTCTGGTGTGAATTGAATTTCAGGTTAATAAGGAAATAATATATTGGGATCATTTTAATACAAAGTAGGTATTGCCCTCAGTGTCGCACCAGAGTATCAGAGAAGACAGGCACATCAGAAATTTGAATCTGAAGGTAAATTCCTAGCAACCAGATGCAGGTTCGGGCCTCACCAGATGTCAGTTTCTACCCCAGATATATAAACAGGTGATCAACCCATCGGCGTTTAGGATGTGCTCACGTAGGTCAACATGATCACAGACCGATATATAACCGCATAACCTAGACGGAAATGATAGATAGTCTCTCATGTCTTCCTGTGATATACGTTCGGGGAAATAACCCAGAAACACACACCACCTCATCGATATTAACTTAGAAAGTCCAAAGGTGTAAAAGTATAATTTTACATATGATAAATTTAGTCCCGTATTTTAATTAGTCTTTCAACAATAACATTACATTATCCTCAATAATAGTACTTTCTATCATTGTCATTATGATACAATAGCTATGACTACGACTATAACCCCTTCTGTCCCTTAAGGTTGAAGTAAGGCTACAAGTGTAATATAGTCAATGAAAATTGATCCTATTATATTTACTTTAGAATGCCTATTCGCTAATATGTGCGCAATGTCGAGACACCATATCTATAACAATTTTGTATTAGTTTCACAACGTAATGATAGTATCCGTAATAAAACTATTATTATTTCATTTATTCATTCTGTTCGAAGTAATTTCATCTCCCAAATGACAAAAGTTTCAATGGATATAGTAGATATTTGACTGGATTGCTTATATAATCACTCTCAATTATTTAAGTGGCTGTGAAAACGGATACAAGCAATCTCAATTCGATACATTTTTGCGAACTTTTAATTATTATCTCATAATTCAACCCTCATTTATATCCCTCTTGTCCTTTTGCATTTCATAAAGATATGAGCTTAGATCCATTTGAGCATTTTTTCTCCATTGACGGTTATCTTGACCACAGTCTTTTCTTTGACAAAAATAAGAATGGCTAAATCAGTGGATTGGCAATACATTCATAATTATCGCATCTGTTCATTAAAACCACCCAATAATAAAACATGAAAACCAGTGGCTTTCAAGCAAGAATTATCGAGTGGTAATAGCTTAAGTTTAAATTTGATGCACCTTCCGCAGTATCCAAGTTGAATTCATTGATGCAGCTTTCGCTTTTGTATCACTTCTTTCTCCACATCTCAAACGTTTCAAATTTCGATGTGTAAATTTTTGAAATACTTCACAGTTCTTAAAAGCAATTAATCACGACTGTGTTATTCCAGTTAAACATTATTATTAGTAGTAGTAGTAGTATTTTCTCAGATTCGGATAAGATCTTAATATCTGATGATTAATAAATCGATAGCATGACACACAATAAGCTGCCTCTGGTATCCGGCAATTTTCCTCTGACTCTAAGTTTTCATCATTTACCGGATTATTCTTGCCATTACAAAGACGATTTGCTTCTGCAACAGTTCCACTGGGAAATCAATCTCAGTTTTCTTTATCCATGTTCCAATTCGGTCAGTCAATGTACCAAATGCCGCAACGATAACAATCAGGACTTCAAATTTCAAAGGCTTGCGAGTTCAAATTTAAATGGAACACAGTGGATTACTTCCCCTTTTCCTTTATTTGCTCGATCTTTTCAGAAAAAGGATAGAATGGATCAATAATTAACCCTTTTTTTGTATTTTATCTGCCATCAATATATCTGACTTGTTGGTGCATCAGTTTCTTTTCTGTATTGAAAATCTCGCAAATTCTTGCATATTTCTGACTCGCTATTATTACTATTATTATTATTATTATTAGTAGTAGTAGTAGTAGTAGTAGTAGTAGTAGTAGTAGTAGTAAAAGCTTAACTGAAACAAGAGTCTTATTCTTCTCAAGGATTCTTCATAAAAAAATGAAACAGGTTCAGAGTGAATTACTGAATACTGATTTCCAAGCATCGCTGTTTTAAACTATATACCCTACCTATGAACACTAATCGGTTTGTCCCAGTTCTCATCAATATGTTGGACACTATTGTAAGTGTGGGATAATATGCTGTCTAAGTAGTTCACCACTAGCAGTGGTTTACCTAATTCACGCCACTGGTGAGCATTGTATTTTGTTGATGTTATAAAGGTTACCATTTCATTTCAAACCTCCGTTTTGGTTATTCTTCATTCTGTAAACCTTTCTAGATAGATGATAATATGCATTGTTTTTAATTTTACTATAAAAATGTATTTTTATATTTTTTAGTGCTACATTGATTGCCATTTTGTTATAAAATCTATTGTTGGTATTTTATTATAAAAATGTATTGTTGATTTTTGTTTGGAGTTCACTATTTTCCCATAGCTGGGACCCAAACAGGTTCTACGACCGCGGATTAGAGTGGATCTGAGAACAGCAGCAGTTAAGAGTTGGTTTCACACTCCTCAAAACCGCCAATCTGCCAAACACAGGGCTGGCTGCCAGATGTAGTTTATTGTCATAAACTATTACCAATTACCGTGTTATATGAGCATAACCCAATTACCATGTTATATGAGCATAACCCAATTACCGTGTTATATGTGCAGAACCCAATTTTCTCCGATGTTTTGTGGCCAGAATTAAAGGAGTGTTGTATTGACTTTTAGGTCTCTCTGCCAGTCAGCCACACGCTTATGCATATGCAATTTGGAAATCGTTAGATATGGAAAAAGGAATCTTTGTCAAGAAAAGCAATGACAGTCCCCATGTTTACACACGAATTATGATTTTGGAAGGAAGAATCCATTTGTTTATTGGGAGTGGTGAACTCAAATGGAAGTAATGAGAATTCTGCTAATTTCGAACCTTCTTAGGAATATGATACGAACAGATTAACAGATGAAAGTGTATTCGTAATGGAGAAGGCTGGAGTTAAATGTAACA